TCATATGTAAAAGAATCGTTTCTGGCCACTCCCAAGTGAATGGCGATCAGAAAACTTTCCTCACTTGCGTGAACTTCTACACATGACTCCATCCTGCTTGATCTTTTACTCAATAATGATCATCATTATCACTCAGCGCATGCGTTATCACAACAACAAGCACAGCTCCTCGGGTGTGCGCTGCTCCATTTTATACTCGAGCATAGCAACAACGATGTCGTGTTCCAATGAAGTACATTTGCGCTCCACTAGCGGATAATGGATTAAGACTTCAAACCGAAATGCGGCAATCGGTAAAGACTCAAACCGTAATACAGCACTAAGGGAAGTGGGAAATAGTTGTTGCATAGCCTTGCGAATAACACTCAACCCGTAATGCGGCAATCAGTGCATCTGGTAAAATATTGGGTTGGTTGATCGTGGAGTAATTTATAAAAGTTTAAAATAAAATCTGCATTAAATCGACTATGTCATCGTTAACTTATATATTTTTGTTGTAATATATTAAGTTTTCTTAGGATATTATGATGATATATCACATATGAAATTATATGAAATTATCAAAGATAAGAAATATTTAATATGCCCATTAACTACAAATATTGCTTGGAGAATTGCATAAATTAAAGATAATTTTATCAATTTTGCATGAATTCACAAAAATTCGCAAAATTATATTCATATCAATTGATATGATAGCATGTAAACGTGTAAAAATATAAGCCAAAAGGCCAACAGTCGCCTGTAAAAGCAATGTATATTTCAGAGCATAATTCTCATTGAATTCTCAGCTCTGTTCACTCCTTTCTGTTAAAATTTCTCCTGCCGAGATAAAAGTGGTGAAATCCACTAATAGAAAATTCATGGCTTTTGACAATTCACACGCTTGTCCGTAGTTGAACCTTCTCTATATTATACGTTCTCTGTTTGTACATTTTGTCATCTTCGTCCATTTTTCCAAAAAGCCATTTTGACATACTGCCAATTGCATTAATCAATCCTCTCTTATTTATTCTCTAACTTCATCAAAATTATATTATCGGTCATAGCTTCATAATATATTCTAATTGCTGAGCGTCAATCATTGTAGTACTATATCGTTATCTTTTGATATTGCCTGATCTCTAATCTGTAAATCTATGAATCCATTTTCCTTTATTTCTGTCAAAGCCATTGTCCCGTCACAATGTTGTTTCATTAAAATTATTACCGTCAACATTATCGAAATCTGTTAATGTTAAAGGTCTTTATATATTGCTAGTATGGATTTTTCTAAATTTTGTTTTCTATATTTGTTCTGTTCCTTGTGCTTAACTGCTTTATAACTTTTTATAAATCTTTCCATCCTTTGTTCTGTATAGTCTTCCCTGTTCCTATTCAGTTTGTGGATTGTTTTCTTTTTGCTGTTCTAAATTTTTTCTTACTATCTTTTTATCTACTTTATTGTTATGTACCTAAATGTTATGTTGTGTGTGAATTTAATTGTAGGATGAAATCTATCATTATAATTCCTAATAGCTTTTTGTATTAGCTGCTTAACTGATAAATTTTTATTTCATTTATATAATACTAGCTGACCCGGCAAACGTTGTTTTGCCATATAAATTATTTTAGGTAATTTCATTGAGGCACTCTGTGATAAACGATATTTTTCGCTTTGTTGTCAGGTGCGAAAACGATCAAAGCAGATGGTTTTCCGACATGGAAACATGCGATGTACAGTTGTCCGTGTGAAAAACATGCATTTTCCAGATTCAGGCCACAAACACTCAATGCCTGGCCTTGTGATTTATTAATTGTCATGGCGAATGCGAGACGAATTGAAAATTGGATTCGCTTAAACTCGAATGGCATATCGGTTGGGATCATTGCAATTCTCGGAATGAGAACTTCCTCACCTTTGAATTTTCCTTTTAGTAGTCWCGCGTGAATCACATTGGCCATGAGTTTTGTGACCGCTAAACGCGTTCCGTTGCATAATTTTGGTGGGTTGAGATTGTGAAGTATGATGACGACTGAACCAACCTTCAATTGTAAATTGTGCGGTGGCAAGCCAGGCACATCCAATGAATTCAAGAACTCAGTTGGGTAGTTGGTTGCTTCATCTTCGTTTGCTACACAGTCCACATCCTTGTTCTTCGCTGCTAAAATTACTCTTTCACTCAACCAATCGTAGTTTTTGTGGTTAGCAATGATGTTCAGAAACACTTTGTTGATGAGCTCCTCTTTCGTTGAGACGAAATTGCAAAAATTTGGCGGGAACGAAATGAATCCATTCGATGCGTCGGCAGGAACACGACCATTACCGATAGTTAGCAGTGGATTAGAGAACAGTTCGGCAGATGCATCGTTTAGTAATGCAACTCGCATGTTTGTCGTCAGCTGAATTTTCCACACATAACGCCACAATGGTGATGATTTCAGGCAAGTATTGGTCTCTTCGGCAGCGGTCGATCGTGGTATTACTGGTAGTGTTTGCCGGAAATTGCCTGAGAGTAAAATCAATGCACCCCCAAAATGTCTTGCGTCATTACGCAGATCTTTCATAGTGCGATTCAGAGCTTCTAACGCGCGTTTGTGCGACGTTGTGCATTCGTCCCAGATAATGATTTTGCTTGCTACCGAAACTTTGGCCATTGCTGAATGTTTCGCTATGTTACATGTCGGTTCTTCAACCGCTTGCAGGTTTAATGGCAATTTTATTGCAGAATGAGCGGTTCGGCAACCTTCCAACATCGTTACCGCTATTCCAGAAGAAGCAACTGCTACAGCAATTTCTGATCTTGCATGAACTGCAGCCAAAATCAATGATATGAGGAATGTCTTTCCAGTTCCACCAGGCGCATCAAGGAAAATCATGCCGACACTCGTCAATTGCCTTCATCACCGTATCGTACACTTCTTTTTGTTGAGGATTCAACAATGGTACATTCGTTCGAACCAATTGGCTTAATGCATTTGTGTCGTATTCACGATCACGCTGCAATTCTCGTTCGAAAGTGTCGTTTACTCCACGATTAGGCGACGGCATTCCTAACCTGGCTAACAAACTGCCGCACATGAGGTAACACATGTCTTCTATCAAAACCAAAGCCTGGTTGTGCATCTCTTCATTCATATCAAGATGCCGATTCTCTGAATGGACACGAACTCGATGCAAAATGTCTTCTGACATGTCATCCTTGTACTTCTCCCACAATTCACGTGGATTCGATGGAAAACATGTGGAAATAATGATCGCAAATAATGTGCATATCTGATTTGAAGATGCGGAAACAGTTGCTTCAGCTATTGTCGTGTCCTAATGCGTATCGTTTTCCAGCAAATTGAGCTCCTGACTACACCATTGATAGTTCGAAGTGATTCAAATGATGTCGTTCCACGAAAATTCACCAGCAATAGTCGTAAGTAAAAGCATTCATCTTTTTTCGGATGAACTGTATAAATACGGCCAAGAGCTTTAGTAGAACGCACATCCGGATGACCAGGAAATAGATTACCTTGCTTTCGACGTTGAAATTTCTTCAATGAAGCATTCCAAGTGTAATAAAGCGGCATCTCTGAGTAAAGTAACGCACGTGCAAACGGATCACTTTGGCAAATCGAGAACAAACTGGTCAATGTTGTCGCTGGTGGGTTTTGAGCACGTTGAGCGGCATTTGCTGGGGTGAAATAAACTCGTTGACCGTTCTCCAGATGCACTGCCAAATGTGTAACACTCGGATAGCGTTCATGAATAGGAAATGAGAATATACGCCAAATCGCCTGATTGCAACATACGAATCAACCACTTTGATAGCGCGTGATTTCATCATTGGGGTCAGGAGAAGACCAAAAGCCGCCATGTCACTGCCCTTCGTGACATATTTGCAGATGCACTTGATGGACTTCACTGAATTGGAATACTCCATGTTACAAGGCGCCCTGAATGTTTTGGAAAGAAGTGGCGAATACGGAACAACCCAAGAGTTGTCGACCACGAAATTATTTCCTTTTACTTCGACTGTGATTGTTCTTCCGCCATCATCAGAAGATCGACGTCGATACAGTGGATAACCATCTTTGCCAGTGATGGTATCAACAGTCAAATTTTATGGATAACGCTTGGAACACTTGCCGTCCACCATGCACGGTGATTGTGGGTTAATGGCGCCACACGGTCCATGAATCATGTTTGTATTTACGACATCATGCAGGTCTGGATCGGTTTCGTTAACAGGAATCTCGGCAAATATGATGTCATTAATTTGGTCTGACTGTATTCTTTCGACTAACCAAATGAGAATGTGCGCATGCGTTAAGCCTCTTTTTTGCCATTCAATGGAATACATCCAACCCCAAAGACACGATGCCTAACAAAATAGTGCATGAGCGACCGGATTTTTTGCCTGAATACACGTGCGGTGATATCGTGCCGATCACTTGATGTTTGGCCAGGAAGCAGCAGTTGAACAATTTCTATCCAAGAACAATTCTATTAGAATTGCACGTGAAGGTGATGAACAGGTCTGGACGGCCGTAATGACGTACATATGTCATTGCACGTATATTCATGCATATGACGTGAGCTGCCAACGAACGTCGCCAAAATCAGATGCATTTCCTTCGGTGCTAATTGCATCGCGTAAATGAATGTACTGCTCCGTACGTAGTTTAGTTTGATTTAAAGTGATAAAAAGGAGGCACTCCGCTTCTATTTTGGCATACATATCGACACAAAACTGCTGAAACCATCGGCGAAATCGAAGAAAATAGTTGTCAACATTTTGGCGAATCATCAAACGATACGCGTAAAAAGTCATTCCGCTGACCTTCCTGGTAGTTTCCTCACCTAAAATGATATCAGTGATATTAGTGTCATATTGAAATGAAAATTATTATGATATCTATTCTTACCGGTCGATGGATTTATCATATTGATGTTGATATAATATCCATCGTCTCCTTGCCAAAACATCAGTGGGTATTGCAATGCATCGTATGAACGATGAGTTTCGGATATTCGTTGCAATTGCCCAGAGTCCCGACGTGTGAGTACAATATCGCGTGATTCCCGGCTTTCGCCGACAATCACAACTGCAACCTCATCTATTGTTGGAGCGTTAAATTGGCGTTCGTGCATTCCAGCAGGTCGTTTATCCGCTCTGATCACGACTTTATAGTCATCATTTGGCATGCGATCCAACGCAGTTTTGAATAACCGAACCAATGCATGATGTTCATGAAGCAGCTGCTGCAAATCGCGAAGAATTCCTCTTCTCATTTTTGTATTGATTGTTTGGCACTGATCAAGTTGATGTTCCACATTGCCCATGAAGTAAATTTGAAGGAATTTATGTTGTGCGCCTTCAAGTGGTAGCAATGATCCAATTCGATGGTGAATTTGGCCTAGGATCTGTAGAGTCAATTACGAAATTAGATTCAATATTTTTTGTGCATCAAAAGAAAATGATCGGTTAATTTATTACCTTGAATGTCGGATTGAATCCGCGTTCATTTATAATATCTGCTTGCCGTTGTATGCAATGCACCGCAATGGTTGCGCACAACCTACATTGGGTGAATTTTAACGGAAGGATGCGAGCTGTAGTCAATTCTGCAATCGATCCAAATCAACACTTAAAGCACTTCTTCTTATGCGTTGATTTAGATTATCACGTTGTTGAGTTGTTTTATTTGCCCGACGATTTCTTATTGTTAAGTAAACCGTTTCATTTTCCGCCTGTCTTTCTTCTTGTGTTTGTGATTCACGAAATCGGGCCATACTAACACGGCACTGTTCTCGTGCGATTTCATGTTCATCCGTCGTCAATTGAAAGGCAATATTACGAACTCTATTTGCATTTCGCATTCGATGAGAAAGATTAGATATTTCGGCTCGTGGCATTCTGAATTACCCTGAGAAATGAACACACAAAACATGTGTTCAAATGTCATAACCTCACAAAATAAACTTGGCAACTTACCGTTTGAAAATAAAATTCCACACCAATATGATCAATCAGAATGAAATGAACAGCGAACTCGAATTGATTTTCAAAATATTCCACCTAAAAAATAATTAAACAACCCGAAATTAACATTTGGGTTGATTATCGATGAGCACGCAATAACAAAGACCATAACCATTTACAATGAGCATTTCATCAAACTGAACTCACCTCTATGAAATCACTTTTCGCTTGCAATTTTCACAATAGCCGTGAACATAAAATTACCAATAAAACACGGCTAATATATCGTTTCAAAATAATGTATTAAATCAAATTGAATTACAATAATTAACGAAAGCCGACAAAAGCTTAAGAAAATGCCGATATTTATGTTACTAAACTCAAGCAAGACATATGTCATTGCATCTTCCGTGGGTTGCCAACTGTGCATATGCATGCAGCTGTCAAAAGTTGATGCATACAACGCCATCTACTGGCAATACATCATTTAAAATCATATTCGTTTTTATTTCCTTTTTAAAATCGTATTTGAAAATTTATTTTCTTCACATTTTTTTTCGGAAAATTTCCCAGAATTTTCGTAAGTGTTCTCCTTGTTTGGGCGGAGACCTGTCCGAATTGGTGGTAATCACCAGGCGTTCTCCAGTTATAAGCGTAGTAACTAACGTCACTTTCTTTTATATATATAGATTCTAAATTTTTCTGCAATTGTATTATGGAGTTTTCAGTGTCTGCATTACCTGTTTGACTGTCGGGTTTGGTTAAATGGAGTTCTATATTTTCATTTTTTAGAAATTCCCTACTTCTTGTAGCATTAAATTCATTGGCAGCTGCTATTTTCTTTGGTTTAATTTATTTATTTAAAATTAAATCATTATTCTTCGTAGATGTTTCTGTATGAAAAAATTTTTGTTTAATAGGTCTCCTATCATATTTTACTTCTTGACTTGTTTCGCACTGGTTAATTACTATTTGTTTTAACTCTCGTAATTTCGGATAATAAATTTTATTTCTAAGGTTATTATACATGCATATGTTTCTTGTATGCCCGAATGCATACGTTCTCTAATATGATACAACGAAATTTGTTTAATAGCTTCAACTTCTGTTTCTCATTATATATATATATTTTCCCGTAATTCCTAGGTTTTTTTTAACGTACATTCCAAATTCCTATTCGCAATCCATTTTTCATGCTGAAGGTCATCATCAATGTATCGTTCTTAATCTTGTCTTTGTTTACTTCGGTTTCGGTAATCAGAGGGTTTAAGTTGAGTAGGTGAATAGCCTTCTGCATCCGAGCCTAGCTCCGGGGATGCCGGTTTCGCTTCTAGGCGTAGGAATTTCTCCTCGCAGGTGCTAAGGTTATACCGCCTTTACTCGGTCGTCAGAGTCCCGTTCGTAGTAAACAATTGATACTGCGTGAAAGTTAGGTTGACATTAGGGAGATAAGAGCAAGCAGTGTGTTACGGTTGAGTAAAGAAACTCTATTTTTATTTAGATTCCCTTTTGTTGATCGTTTTTCCTTACTGACTACTATGCTTTTTATACCAAAGAGAGTATTCGCTTACATAGTAAAAATGTTTTGATTATCGTATCTCTTATTCCATCATTTTGTTTGGATTTGTTACATAAATCTTAGTGCTGCTTACTATACACTATTGAGATGCTAGTTATTTACTAGTAAATATCTATTTTGGTTGTTATTGTTTGTTGTACTTATAGTGCACTTATATTGTTACAAGAGTAAGGTTGTTTTGATTAATTTTCTTTAATTTTGTTGTGTTGTGTTTAATGAAATATAAGGTTCTTTTGATGTGTGTTTGTTTAGAATATTTTGATAAGATACTATCATAAGGAATACGTTCCTTAACTCTCCCCTCTGTTAAAGTGAAATATCCTCATGCGGAAATATTTACGCTTATAGTTGGTTTAATTGAATTTCAAGTGCATCTTTTTAATTTTTGCGGCGTTTGAAATTTTTTGGAACTGTGGATACATATAGACTTTTAAACATAAAAAAATCACTAAACATAATGTTATGATTATAAGAATTGCATACAATGTAAATTTTAAAGGGTATTCTTCGATTGGTATAGTAAATCTATACATTTATTGTATGTTGGTAAACTTATAATTAGACTGGGAAGTTAAAATGCCTAATACTTTTACATTTTCGTTTTGGTGAACATGTATTACATCTTTTATTTCTTGCTCGTGTTTTATTGTCGATAGTAGTGCTAAAACTGTATTGAATTATATGTGGACCGCTTATTTTAAGTCCATTACACGTGTGTTCATTTCCATTGTAATATTTCTATGGTCTAAAATTTGCAATGGAGAATTATTTTCCTGAATGATATTACATTGAGCATTTTGTTTTAAATACAAGGGTATTGTACATTTATCTTCATTTTCTTGTTTGCAAATATTTTCTCCGACATAATTTTTAAAACTTGACAAATTTTGTGATTTCTTTGTTACATTTAGAGATTTTTCGTTTAAGGTCATATTTTTCATGCTTAAATGCTAAAGGAATTAAATACATTTTACATTTATTCGATATATTTGGGTATTTATAAATTGTAATAATTGCATTGTAAAAAAGTGCAAACATGTATATCAGAATATTCTAATATATACATTATTGGAATATCATATGATTCGTTCTTAATCATTTCTTTTATTTCTTTTCTATTAAGAGTACCAGAAAAGAAATTCCCTGTTTTTTGGAAATTAATTGTGTTTGTAATCGCTTCTAATTCTTTATAGGCTTCTGTAATAATTAATTCTTCAGTTTTGGATTACGGTCTAAAGTTTCCAAATTTTTTGCAAATTCAGAATTTATTTTTCTTTGTTGATTGTTATTATCTATAAGATGGTTGAGTCCTGCCTTCATTTCTACAAGGTCATCGTGATCTCATGTTCCTGTTACATATTTTAAAATTGAGCCTAAAAAGTTTATAACACGTTTCGGTCGGTAAAGGTTGGTTTCTAAGAATTTCTATTTTATTTATTAATATATTTTCTTGTTGAGATTGAGTTGTGGCGACTTCATAATGTTTTCATAAGGCGCTTAAATTGTAGTAAGATTTCCAACGTGGTAAAGGACTTATGAATTTTTATAAATAAAAACTGCATCGGTTTCGGTCAAATCGATTTTTGTCCCTTTAAATCAGAAATGTTATCAAAAAATTCTAATGATAATATAAAAAAGTTAATAAATCCTATTTCTATTAGTCGCATGATATGCTGTTTTCTAATGCCGCCCTTTTTAATTATTTCCCCTCTCACTGTTAGAATCGTGTCCGCGCGATCTTCCTTCACTTTGTGTCTGTTATATTTTGATCCGAGTTTATTTCTGAAATCGGTTTTACTGTAAAAATTTCTGTTTTTCTTTCCATAACTTAATAGCTTCCCTTGTATATGCTGAAGAATATCCTTGATGTCGAGATATTTTTCACAGTTGAAAAATACGTCCTCGGATTTATAACCTGTCGATGATTGAATAGTCCTATTATGGACGGCGTAAAAAATTTCTTCACTAGAGCGGTTTTGTTCAGAGAGGCTATACCAGGAATAAAGGGATATTTAACTTATTCCAGTGTGAGAGCGCCTCAAAATTACCGTTTTTTTATGACATTTTTCATTGTAGCAAGATCAGAAAAAAAGCAATTTTTTGGGCATTTTAAATAAAACACCCAATTCTCTATTTCCACACAATAATTAAAAGCATTTTCCTTTAAAAAGTTAAATTCTAAAGTACTATCTAAAGTAATGGATCTAACAATGGAGTGTTCGGGCCGTGGTAAACTCTGGAAATCCTGCCAAGAAAGGTCACTTAAAACGGAATCATTGCACACATTAAGAAGAACATTACGGCTATGTTCTGAAATACCTGTGGCTTCGGGTTCTTAAGGCAGCTCACAGTTACCTTTAGTTACGACATTTACGTAACGTAAACCCCATGACTTCCTAAATAAACTAGAGAACATGACTTAAACGATTAATATTAATTAACCACACTTTGATAATATTGAAATTATGTGTTGTGTTGTTTCCTAACTCATCTTCGACCCGAATGGTTTTTAAAACTTTTTCTGCCTCATCTGGTTTTGCTCTGGAGAACTTATAAAAACTTTTTTAGTGGGTACAATGGCCTCAGTGAAACTACTATTAAAGATATCGAATAACTTATTGAAAAAAGAAACGAAATCCGCGGTATTAATAAAGCTCATACTATTTGAGCTTAAGGCTCCCGAGCTGTAAAGAGAAAGCATACCTGAAGCCACCGTATTACTTAACACTTGAGACGCGAATTTAACTTTCATTTTTTGAAAGGTATTGGGGTAAATATGAGCATCGGTTAATTTATGCGCACACCGATAACTCGATTTAGAGTCCTGTTTATAAAAATGGACTATATCTGACCAACATACGCACACTATTTTTAAAATCAACTTTATTCATCATATTTTGTAAACAGTTTCGACTACATTTTAATAAATGGGAACTATCGTAAAAAAAACATATTTTCTTACCATTAACGTTGAAAAAAGGCCGTGACATTGAAACACCTAACAAATTACCTAAATTTTGAAAATTGGTACCCTAGTCACAAACAAAATGGCAAGGAACTAGCCATATATTTTGAAGTTGGGTAATGGCTTCCAGAATATATTTCTTGAGGACATCCCCTTTACATGAGCCTCTAACCAAAAAATAAGCTAACGGGTGGGACCAAGGTTCCCCACCTATACCTTGCACCGTTATGGTCATTGCAGTTGTGGCTATTCTAGATGTGCGATTTTCATCGCCATAATCTTCATAGACCCCTATTAT